CTGTATACTGACACACATAGTATACACTGACTGTATACTGACACACATAGTATACACTGACTGTATACTGACACACATAGTATATACTGACTGTATACTGACACACATAGTATAAACTGACTGTATACTGACACACATAGTATATATTGACTGTATACTGACACACATAGTATACACTGACTGTATACTGACACACATAGTATAAACTGACTGTATACTGACACACATAGTATAAACTGACTGTATACTGACACACATAGTATATACTGACTGTATACTGACACACATAGTATATACTGACACACATAGTATAAACTGACTGTATACTGACACACATAGTATATAGACTGTATACTGACACACATAGTATATACTGACTGTATACTGACACACATAGTATAAACTGACTGTATACTGACACACATAGTATAAACTGACTGTATACTGACACACATAGTATATACTGACTGTATACTGACACACATAGTATATACTGACTGTATACTGACACACATAGTATATACTGACTGTATACTGACACACATAGTATAAACTGACTGTATACTGACACACATAGTATATACTGACTGTATACTGACACACATAGTATATACTGACTGTATACTGACACACATAGTATATACTGACTGTATACTGACACACATAGTATATAGACTGTATACTGACACACATAGTATATACTGACTGTATACTGACACTGTATACTGACACACATAGTATATACTGACTGTATACTGACACACATAGTATATACTGACTGTATACTGACACACATAGTATACACTCACTGTATACTGACACACATAGTATATATTGAGACACACAGTATATATACTGACTGTATACTGACACACATAGTATATATACTGTATACTGACACACATAGGATATATATACTGACTGTATACTGACACACATAGGATATATATACTGTATACTGACACACATAGTATATACTGACTGTATACTGACACACATAGGATATACTGACTGTATACTGACACACATAGTATATACTGACTGTATACTGACACACATAGTGTATACTGACTGTATACTGACACACATAGTATATATATATATACTGTATACTGACACACATAGTATATATATACTGTATACTGACTGTATACTGACACACATAGTATATATACTGACTGTATACTGACACACATAGTATATATATACTGTATACTGACTGTATACTGACACACATAGTATATACTGACTGTATACTGACACACATAGTATATACTGACTGTATACTGACACACATAGTATACACTCACTGTATACTGACACACATAGTATATATTGAGACACACAGTATATATACTGACTGTATACTGACACACATAGTATATATACTGTATACTGACACACATAGTATATACTGACTGTACACTGACACACATAGTATATACTGACTGTATACTGACACACATAGTATATACTGACTGTATACTGACACACATAGGATATATATACTGTATACTGACACACATAGTATATACTGACTGTATACTGACACACATAGTATATACTGACTGTATACTGACACACATAGTATATAGACTGTATACTGACACACATAGTATATACTGACTGTATACTGACACACATAGTATATACTGACTGTATACTGACACACATAGTATATATATACTGTATACTGACTGTATACTGACACATAGTATATACTGACTGTATACTGACACACATAGTGTGTATATATACTGTATACTGACACACATAGTATATACTGACTGTATACTGACACACATAGTATACACTCACTGTATACTGACACACATAGTATATATTGAGACACACAGTATATATACTGACTGTATACTGACACACATAGTATATATACTGTATACTGACACACATAGTATATACTGACTGTATACTGACACACATAGTATATACTGACTGTATACTGACACACATAGTATATACTGAGCGACATCCTGTATAACTATCTGACACAGGGAGACAGTGTGTGCTCTGTATCACCCAAAATCCTCTATATCCCTATATATTGACCACAATATTCCTATATATTGACCACAATATTTCTATATATCCCTATGTGTTGACAATAATATCCCATAGTATCCCAACCAAATATTCCTATTTATTGACCATAATATCTCAGCCAAATATCCCTATTTATTGACTATACATACCCAGACTATAATATCCCGATTTATTAACCCTCATATCCCTATTTGTTGACCATAATATCCCATAGTATCCCAACCAAATATTCCTATTTATTGACCATAACATCTCAATTTATTGACCATAATATCCCAGTCAAATATCCCTATTTATTGAGCATCCTTATATGGACTCGGGTGTCTGTCTCTCATTAGATGCGGACCATGTGTCTGCTCCCTTATATATGTACCTATATGTATTTATGTTGTATGTTTGCTGCAGCTTGATTGGCCCATGACTGTAATAGATTCACATTTATGTATTTTTATTTTTTTTACATTTTTAAAAAATAAGCACCTTAATTTGTTCATCAGCAGGGAGATTACATATAATCTGCAGCAGGTGTGCTATTTGTCAACTATCACATCTACTCACATTCAGTTCCTGTTGCAGAGAATCTTAGTTTCTGTATTTTCTCACTCAGCACCTGTTTACCTGTGACTAAGTCTGTGTGCCCACATCTCCTAGGATGGCAACGCCAACTACCAATGGTGAGTAGCTATAATGCCAATTGCCTTCTTCTATCTGAAAGTATTTCAGCATTTGACACTGATTATATATATATGTGTGTGTATGTGTATATATATATATATTTTTTTTTAAATTAATATTATTGTTGTTCCTTTACCTCTATAGTTTCTACTTATTATTAGGTGTGTGTATGGTAATTAGAATATGAGTCAGCCTGCCTTGGAGGAGGTACATGTATGTGGAAATATAAAATGCCACTCTACATTAGGTATTTGCTTTTTATGCAATTATCGTATGTGTCTATGCTAGAACTTCAATTTGAAATCTCAATAGCCTGGATGGAAAAAGCACAACCCGCATATATTAATGTATCCATGAAGTGCATTAAGTTACAGCTTTTAATGGAATAACTAAATCTAAAACCTGCTTGACAGTGCAATTGGGAAAGCTCATTGGGAGTTGAAATCTAACTGCCGAATATTTCCATCTGTGTAAAATTGGCCATTCCCCTAATCTACTTCAGGTATATCAAGGCTGCTGCTACCAACCAGATCCTTTGATATCTATACTGTAGTATGTCATCCAAACTATATTTTAAGATGACTATATATGAGTTCAAGATTATCTACAACTCAAAACTTGACTTTATGACTATTAATATTATTATTATGATGATATTTATAGAGCGCCGTCAAATTCTGCAGCGCTTTACAATGGGTGGACGAACAGACATGTAGTTGTAACCAGACAAGTTGGACACACAGGAACAGAGGGGTTGAGGGCCCTGCTCAATGAGCTTACATGCTAGAGGGAGTGGGGTAAAATGACACAAAAAGGTAAGGATAGTATTAGACTAGTGACAGTTGCAGAAGAGGAATCAGTCAGGAGCTATTAACAGTTTAATTGCTACGCTTTTATGAAGAAGTGGGTTTTTAACGATTTTTTTGAAGGAGTGGAGACTGGGTGAGCATCTAACGGAGGAGGGAAGCGAGTTCCACAGGAACGGTGCAGCCCTCCAGAAGTCTTGAAGGCGAGCATCAGAGGTGGGAGTACGTAAGTCTTCAGCAGATCGTAAGGGCCTAGACGGGACATACTTGTGTATAAGGGAGGATAAATAGGTGGGAGCAGCATTATGTAGAGATTTGAAAGCAAGAACCAGAATTTTAAATTGAGCTCTATATTTTATAGGAAGCCAATGTAGGGAATGACAGAAGGGTGAGGCATGGGAGGTGCGGACGGGAAGATGAGCCTCGCCGCCCCATTCATTATGGACTGTAACGGTGCTAGTTGGGAGCACGTAAGACCACTGAGAAGCGGATTACAGTAGTCAAGGCGAGAAAGGACAGAGGAATGGACCAACACCTTAGTCGCATCTGGCGTTAAGTAGGGGCGGATGCGCGCAATGTTTTCGAGATGGAAATGACAGGATTTGGCGATAGATTGAACATGAGGCTTGAAGGAGAGGTCGGAGTCAAAGAGAACACCTAGGCAGCGAGCCTGCGTGGTGGAGCTGATGGTAGCATTGTTGACTTGGAGAGAGACAGACACAGGAGTAACAACACTTGAGGGAGGAAAGACCAGAATTTCAGTTTTGGTCAAGTTTAGTTTAAGGAAGTGGGCAACCATCCAGTTAGAAATAGCAGAGAGGCATTTAGAGACACTAGTCAAGAGGGACGGGGAGAGATCAGGAGAGGACTACTTTGTTTCATAATAAAGATTAAGTGCTAAGTGGACGAAAAGCGCAAGTCAGCGTTCCCGGTTTCCCAGTGTGGTGGTCCCACATTGATCTTATTGATTTCATTTATCTTGGATGGGTATTTTGTTTATTTTTTATTTTTTTGGCATTCCCAAAATGAGTGATGTTTGACCAATATGTGCATTGGGATAAATTCCGAAATTGACAAAAGGCAGAGCTCCACCATCAAGCTTTGTCAGTTCCCCCTTCCATTGCTAGCATTGGCTGTTTGGAAATGTTTCTTGCTGCAAGGTTAGTTACTACGAAGGATCCTGCGTTCTCATGGAATCCTCTTTCGACCTGTGCTGTATTCATTCACAAGAGTATGACCATGACAAGGATACTGGCAGATCAACAGCCAGTAGGTAAAGATGTATGTCAGACCAAAGATGAGGATAGCTACAGGTAAGTAGATCTTTCTTTAGCTCCCCCTGTCTTTCATACACCAGCTAGGCATGTTCCCTTCAGGCATCTTTGCAAAATATTCAAGGACCCCCTAAAGTGAGAGCAACTTTTAACCAGCAAGCTGTGGGATTTACTTATCATGTGCACCCTGTTGAAGTACTTGGTAGTGTAGTCGAGTATTCTTATTGGCATTTATATAGCGCCTATATATTCCATAGCGCTTTACAATAATATGAGCGGGGGAGATTTACCAATACATGAGACCATTAAAAAAACGTACAGGAACAATAGGTTGAAGAGGACCCTGCTCAAACAAACTTACAGGCTAGTGCAGGCATAGGCAACCTTTGGCACTCCAGATGTTTTGGACTACATCTACCATGATGCTTTGCCAGCATTATGGGGGATGTAGTCCACAACATCTTGAGTGCTGAAGGTTACCTATACCTGGACCTAGAGGGTAATGTATTCTTCTATGACATCCTAAACCAAGGACCTCCTACTATCAAAATATATGCATTGCAGTGTTAATTTTGTCGAATAACAATTTTAGTCAAATTTTAGCTAACTAAAACAATTCAGATGACTAAAATACGACTAAAACTAAAATGGCTTTTTAGTCAAAGGACTATGAGTAAAACTAAATTGAAATTTGCTACCAAAATTAACACTGCACAGAGGGGATGTGGAAGGGGGAAAAGAGACAGACCAGGGCTTGGGAGAGAGACACCTAGAGTGGTTGGGTGGACACAAAGAGACACAGAGGGGCAAAAGAGACAGTTGCTTTAACTACACCTAGAGCAGTTGGAAATGCTAGAAGAATGCTTTGTTGTATAGGGAGAGGTATTAGCAGTAGAAAGAGGGAAGTGCTCATGCCCTTGTACAGAACACTGGTGAGACCTCACTTGGAGTATTGTACTCCGTACTGGAGACCGTATCTTCAGAAGGATATTGATACTTTGGAGAGAGTTCAGAGAAGGGCTACTAAGCTGGTTCATGGATTGCAGGATAAAACTTACCAGGAAAGCTTAAAGGATCTTAACATGTATAGCTTGGAGGAAAGACAAGGCAGGGGGGATATGAGTAGAAACATTTGAATACATAAAGGGAATCAACACAATAAAGGAGGAGACTATAGTTAAAAGAAGAAAAACTACCACAACAAGAGGACATAGTCTTAAGTTAGAGGGGCAAAGGTTTAAAAATAATATCAGGAAGTATTACTTTACTGAGAGGGTAGTGGATGCATGGAATAGCCTTCCAGCTGAAGTGGTAGAGGTTAACACAGTAAAGGAGTTTAAGCATGCGTGGGATCGGCATAAGGCTATCCTAAGGCCAGGGACTAATGAAAGTATTAGTGAAATATTGGGCAGACTAGATGGGCCAAATGGTTCTTATCTGCCGTCACATTCTATGTTTCTATTAGATTTTAGTTGTGTCGACTTAAACTAAAACAATTCGTACTAAAATACAACTAAAACTGATATGGCTTTTTAGTCCGTAAACTATGGCTAAAACTAAATTGGAATTTGATGCCAAAATTAACACTGATGCATTAACTATTAAATGTTTATGCTTGCAATTCTTTTATTTATATATATATATATATATATATATATATATATATATATATATATATATATATATATATATATATATATATATATATATATATATATATATATACCTTACCTTCTTACTTGGCTTAAAAATTGTACGAAATGGGTCCTATGTGGTTTTTTTTTTTTGGTTTTTTTTTTTTTAAATAAATAGCGGGGTTACAATAAAAAGTTATAAATTGAACCACAAAAATAGTTGCCTATGACTGTGCTGTTTTGTAGCACACCCACTGCTTTTTTTTTATTTATTATATATTCACTTGACATACAGATTAATTTTATATGCCTATTAATAGGAGGTTGTTGGCCTTCCCTCTCTGAATCACATGCTGAGTAATTCACTAATCAGAGCATTGTAGGCAAATGACATGGAAAAAAAAAACATTTTAGCCTAAATAGCAGATTTGTTTTTAGCACACCTCTGTTTGCAGCGCTAGGTTTGGCAAGGACCAAATTGGAGTCCTATTGGTCACTTGCAAATCCACCAATCACCTTAGGAGTTGTGTTCACTACTGAGATATTTGTGTGTAAACCATGGGTTTCTTTGATTGGACAATAAATCTTCCTTAGAGATCCTAGAGACCCGATTCTTAAATTAGTATGTTTCAAAGAACCCCCCAGCAGTCCATGTAGGGATTCACATACTACACAGCCATGTTTCATTGTAGATAATGATAAAACATGGAGCTGTGATGGGTTTTGACTACTAGTTCATATTTAATACCTTCGGGACAAATTACATGTCCGGGCTGTTATAATAACTTTGACTAACACTGCGTAGAAAGGGCCAATGCTTACATAAATATTGTGAATATATGAAGGTTCTATATTCATTCTATCCCATTAGTGATATTCGTACGGGGCTTCATTCCACTGTATCATATGAAAACCTTTTCCCATTTGTCCTAGGTATTGTTATTAAAGGGACACTTTAGTCACCTGAACAACTTTAGCTTAATGAAGCAGTTTTGGTGTATAGAACATGCCCCTGCAATCTCACTGCTCAATCCTCTGCCATTTAGGAGTTAAATCCCTTTGTTTATGAACCCTAGTCACACCTCCCTGCATGTGACTTGCACAGCCTTCCATAAACACTTCCTGTAAAGAGAGCCCTATTTAGGCTTTCTTTATTGCAAGTTCTGTTTAATTAAGATTTTCTTATCCTTTGCTATGTTAATAGCTTTCTAGACCCTGCAATAGCCTCCTGTATGTGATTAAAGTTCAATTTAGAGATTGAGATACAATTATTTAAGGTAAATGACATCTGTTTGAAAGTGAAACCAGTTTTTTTTTTTTTCTCATGCAAGCTCTGTCAATGTGGCTAGGGCAGCATAAACAGAAACAAAGTGATTTAACTCCTAAATGACAGTGAATTGAGCAGTGAAATTGCAGGGGAATGATCTATACACTAAAACTGCTTTATTTAGCTAAAGTAATTTAGGTGACTATAGTGTTCCTTTAACTAATAAATTGTGGTCGATTGAAAACATAGTTTGTAAAAAATTAGGCCACAATAGTTGGGAGTTTAAGTAAGTCAGTTGTTCGGCATTGATGTTCTAAAATGCATTTTTTTAAAAGAGTTTTGTTTGACATTTGACATGTGTAATGTACCTTGGACTGTAGTGGTTATGATGCTTGGATTTTGCAATGGTTTACCTCTTACCTGGAGCCAGCATGGTCGCATCCAGGAATGCCCGTCACTTATCGTCTGGGAGCTTTGGCTGAGGGCTCTCGGCTAATAAATGAAACTTGTGCGTGGAAAATGCTCAGAATTTACATTAGCCAGCCGGTACACTTCTGGGATTGCTGTTGATGCTGCTGCAAGTAGAGTACCACCTTTGTCGGCAACATTAAATATCTCCATATTAAAACATTGCACGTACAGGACTACATTCTCCATGACCACCTCAAAAAAACTGAAGTGACCTTGGTGCTTGAAGTAACCCTTTTAGAATCCCTTTAATCGTTTGCTGAAATACATTTTTACACGAAGAGGGACTCAAAGCAGGTGTGGTGCAATTTGTACGTTAGATTAGTTATTTTTTTGTTTTCTTACCTTGTCCCTATATCAAAAATGTATTAGTAGGTGAGTTAAATTATATGATGCAATCCACTCCTTTTTATCCTGCAATTGGGTGCCTACATCTCGGCTCCATGTCAAACATTGTTTTCAGCTCTGTCATCTGCATGTTGCTTCAGCATAGAGAAAGCATACAGGGAAGAGAACTGAAACAATGTTTCTATTTTTCATTTGCCATATTTGCCCTGGCATTGCCTTGTCTTAAAGGGACCGTAAAGGCACTCAGACCACTTCATCTCAATGAAGTGGTCTGGAGTCACCTGCACCCCATTTGAACTCTGCAGCTGACAAAGTTTGCATTTTCCATGTTTTTTTCCAGTGGTGTAGATTTTCATAAAAGTGACAGTTTTTTTTTTTTTTAACAATAAAAAAATAAAATAAATAAATACTGATTTAGTTTTGCTTCATAAGTCGACTTCTCTCACCTGCCATACTGCATTGTTTTTTTATGCTAAAAATGTATTCCTGGGGGCGGGGCCGGACCGCCATGCTGAGCAGTCGCAAAATAGTGTGGCTCCTGCAATCTCTCCCAGTTTTTCAGCACAAAAACGACAATACCTACCTGACAGCAGCGACCCAGTGCAAGAAGCCACCCTGGTTCCGAGGAGAGGCTTGCTGCAAAGTTCTAGTCCCTTGGAGGGGTGCTCTCCGTCACCCACGATGGAGACCACTCGGGCGGTGAGTGGGGTGGACGGCCGCTGCCCTGCTATCCAGGGCCGGCGCGTCCATAAGGCGGCACAGGCGGCCGCCTTAGGGCGCACCGGCTCTGGGGGCGCAAAATTCCAGTGACCGGCAGGAGGGAAGTGCTCCCTCCTGCCAGGTCACCTCCTGGATCCCCGGCGCGGCGTGCGGCTGAATTAGATGCCGTGGTGGCGAGGGAGCTCTGATCTCTCTGATGTGCTCCCTCGCAGGCTGTTTACTGATGACGTCATATTCCGGCTCCCGCGGCATCAGTAAACAGCCTGCGAGGGAGCAGACCAGAGAGATCAGAGCTCCCTCGCCACCTCGGCATCCAATTCATCCGCATGCCTCCCAGCAGCCCCACTGGACCACCAATGAGATACCCACGCCAGCTCTCCAGGTAGGGAGGCTGGGTAGGACATTTAAATTTAATTTAGATTATTAATTACTGTGTGTGTGCATGTGAGTGTGTGTGTGTCTGTCAGTGTGTGTGTGTGTGTGCGTGTGAGTGTGTGTGTGTGTCTGTCAGTGTGTGTGTCAGTGTGTGTGTCTGTCAGTGTGTGTCAGTGTGTGTGTGTGTGTGTGTGTGTGTGTCTGTCAGTGTGCAGTGAGTGTGTGTCTGTCAGTGTGTGTGTGTGTGTGTGTGCAGTGAGTGTGTGTGTCTGTCAGTGTGTGTCAGTGTGTGTGTCTGTCAGTGTGTGTGTGTGTGCGCATGTGAGTGTGTGTCTGTCAGTGTGTGTGTGTGCATGTGAGTGTGTGTGTGTGTGCATGTGAGTGTGTGTATCTGTCAGTGTGTGTGTCTGTCAGTGTGTGTGTGTGTGTGTGCGTACATGTGTCTGTCAGTGTGTGTGAGTACATGTGTCTGTCAGTGTCTGTGAGTTTGTGTGTGTGTGTCAGTGTGTGTTTGTCAATGAGTCTGTCAGTGTTTGTGTGTCTGTCAGTGTGCGTGTGAGTGTCTGTCAATGAATGAGTGTGTCAGATAAGTGAGTCTGGCTGTCAGAGATGTCTGTGTGTTTGTCATTGAGTGTGTGTGACTGTCAGTGTTTATACACCCCTGACTGTAGCGTGGCCAAGCGGAGTGTACCGTGGTACAGGAACTTCTGTTTCCTGTACCTGGCAGGACTGACAGGAAAAGCTCACTGTACCGGGATTCGCTCCGCTCAGCCACGCTACAAGAAAGGTAGGAGGCACACCAGGAAGGGGAGGGGACCACTATGGGGGTGGGTGGCGCACCAAGGGACAGGGAGAGATACCCTAAGGTACAGGAAAAGGAGGGAGGGGGGGAGAGGAACACTAAGCGACAGGGAACAGAGGGGGGAGGGGAGAGGAACACTAAGGGACAGGGAAAGGAGGGGGGAAGGGAAAGGAACACTGAGGAACAGGGAAAGGAGGAGAGAGGGGAGAGGAACAGTAAGGGTCAGAGAAGGGAGGGGACCATTAAGGGACGGGGAGAGGGGCTGGATGTGAAAGAAACACATAGCGGTGCTTGAGAAGGAAAGAGACACACACAAAGGAGCTGGGAAGAATAAAAGACACAAAGGGGCTGGGAGAAAAGGAGTCACACAAAGGGGCTGGGAGGAGTAAGACACAAAATGTGGGAGGATGTAAGAGTCATACAAAGAGGAGAGATAGGAGACACACAAAGGCAAAAATAGGAGATAAAATACATTAAAGGGAGTCAGACATTTAAAAGACGGGATAAGAAACACAAAAGGGAGGTTAAGAGGCACATGGGTGAAGAGGTTTTTGGGGGGGGGGGGGCGGAAAAATGCATCTTCGCCTATGTACCCAAAATTCTTTGCACCGGCCCTGCTGCTATCCTGCCCACTAGCAGTATGGGCGAAGCACAAGGCTAGGTGGAACTGGCCCTGTCCCCCCCCCTCTGGACCGGGGGGGTGATCCCGGTCCCCACCCTAACCCTGTCAGTGTGCAGCAACATCAGCTGTGGCAGGGGGGCCCCAAACCTCGCAGGCCGCAATCAAAATGGCGGAGACTGCATGTCGAGTCACCCGCGACAGACGGAAGACGGACGCACCCACCTCACAGTGGCAGCAGGCCGGCACAAGCCACATGGGAACCGCCGGGCACCTGCAAAGACCCACCCAGAGCCAAGCCAAATGGGCGGAGAAGCCGGAGGCACCTCAAGCCAACGCAAACAGCTCCACAAGCAACCGACGGAGGTCGACACCTGCAAACTACTGCCTAAACACCGCCAAATGCTCAACTCAAAGAGGAGACAGTGCTCCAGCTACATAGCTCCGCATACTGAACCTCTAGGATCACCGCGCAGGACGCACATGAACAACAACGAGGCTAATGGGACTTACCTCCTGCACGAGACAGGCACTTGATGGAACCGCAAGTATACCACAAGGGGACTCACACTACAACTAACACGGCGGTCCTTCTGCCATTATTATGTTACCCAAACGGGTCTCCTGGCACAAAACCATTGACTATCATCTTGCTGGAATGGGGGTCCCCCCGGGGTGGAAAGACTCAAAGTGCAATCACACATGTTTGATGCTTTCTCTTTGTTTGTTTTTTTGTTATTTTTTTTTTGTTCTTTCATCTAGTGTTGCCTCCAAGCTACTGAGAACCTAGTTAGGCACGCCATGCAGCAGCTTATATATCTCTGGTCTGATTTACTCACTCAGACCAGACATATACTCCACCTTTCTTTAATCAGCCCAGCAGGTACTTAACTGTATATATTCTCACTCACAGTTACCACAGAGGCAGTATAGACATACTTATAATACACCACTTCGCCTCTCCGCTGATTATTCTCTGTTCACTCAGGCAACTGAACAGGCGTAGATGTTGTCTCTCACTGTTCCGAAACCTGATGTACATGTATGAGTACCTGTGGAGTGTTAAACTCATCTTGCTAAACTCTTATACATTTGCTTAGCTAACCAGTAAGCTTGGCATGTTTTTGCTTGCATATACATGTATTTCACGCTTAACTACACGGAGGAACGGCTGACCCATCATGAGAGGCACTAGCGGTTAAACGAACCATACTACTTACACCAGCCGCCACAAAATGCTCACGTATCTCAGACAACATGACAGTAAGCGTTTGTGACTAAATGCCCACTAACTATACCCTATACACAATCTGATAGAATGTTCCTGTTATGAATCTGTTAATATATAAAAATGTGCTCATTACTCTATTGCTCCTACTGTAATGCTAGACAAAATGCTCGAGGATTGCTGTTGGGGCACCAAGAGCTTGTATGTACTAATCACCATGCACACCAAAATAAAGATTTAAAAAAAAATAAAAAAATTTATTCCTGTTGATGTACTTAAAGGGACCCTGTAGGCACCCAGACTATTTCAGCTCATTAAAGTGGTCTCGGTGCTGTGTCCCTTTTTCACTTCAGTCTACTGTGCATGCTCTGAGTGACTGCCACTGTTACAAGGGACTAATCTAAACACTGCCTTTTCTCAGAAAAGATAGTTTTTACATTGTAAAGCCTGCAGGGACAGCCTATAGACACCAGAACCACTAAATTAAACTGTAGAAGTTCTGGTGACTATATTATCCCTTTAGGCTATTAGCCCATACAGTGGGAAGTTGATAATTTGAGTACAAATCCCATAAACCTTCGATGTGCTCATAATTCCCTGCTTGTTGGATAATCCTAGAAGTGCTGTATAGCAACCAACATCACTTCCTGGTTTGGCGAGTGCTCTTTGCAAATCCTTCTTAGCCTGACGTTTTGCTGGAAAAACAGGAACTCCCAGTGATGAATATCTTTTCTATTACATTAGAGCTCACAAACCCTTCTCATAAAAGACTTCTAATCCATGTTCGTTTTGTTCTGTGCACGTTTTCTGATTAATTCTAGTTTGTAGTGATCAGAGGCGTAACTACAAAACACGGGGCCCCGGTGCAAAAATTGCACTGCCTCCTCCTTGCCCACCCCCACCCCTCCATAGGTCTACTTCTCCTGTTCACCCCCCTCCCCACACACACATGCAGACAAACAGATACACATGCACACACATACATATAGAGAAACATACATACAGTCACACATGCGCACACACACATACAGAGACACATATGCAAAATGTTTAAGTCACCCTCCTGCTTCCTACCTTTGAGGTGCAGGAGGGCGACTTTCCCTGGGGTCCAGTGGGGGTTTCAAGCTGATGGGAGTCAGAGTTTCTTCTTCGTTCCCGCACGGCTCTCTATGATAGCTGGGAGGAGTGACTGGGGCAGTCACTTCCTCCCTGCGTCTGACATCATCACATGGGGCCCGGTCGCGCTATTAAAGCGCTGCGGCGCTGACTGGGGCCCCCTGGATATTCATTGCCATCTGGTGGCCCTAACAGCATGGGCCACCCGATGGACTCCTTCAATGCGGCCTCGGAGGTTACACCACGCGGGCTGGGGCCGCAACAGATGGCGGCGGGCAACCGGTGGCAAGGGGTCCGCACAGCTTGTGTGTTGCAGAGCTCCAGTTCCAGCAGAGTATCGCTGCTAGTCTACTTACCTTGTGGAGCTCAGACGTCAGAGTAATTGGAGCAGCCTACCCATACATCAGTTGAGACTCGAAATATGAAACAAATATATTTTATTGGGAAGCAGGCACCATATTTATCCGTTATAAAAATGCAAAAAAATGCTTTATTATACAAGAATGCACAAAACAGGTATCAATATAGTCCTATTGCAATGTCAATATAAACAAACATTTATGTAGAAAATATGCAAGCAATGAATAGACCCAAAAAGGAAGCGATCAGAAATACTCTGCATCTACAAACTAAATGGTGTAAGCACCAATATAATGAAACAATATTATGATATCTGAAAAAAAATAAAAAATGCAAAACAAAAAATACATACCAAAGATAGAACCTATCAAGGAACATGAGAAGAGGGTGAAGACGTCAAAAAATATGTTTGTTTATATTGACATTGCAATATGACTATATTGATACTTGTTTTGTGCATTCTTGTATAATAAAGCATTTTTATGCATTTTATTTGGTTGTGCTCCTCTTTTTAGTATTATACTATTGTATTGTAGCCTTTTGGAAATGGGGCTTTAGGAGTGAGCACCCTTATTTGTACTAATTCACTTTATCTATTGTATATGGCTGTTAACCGGGTGTGCCCACCTTTCCCTTGTTAAACCATATTTATCCAGTACAGAATATGTATTTCCCCCCTGCAGGGGATGATTAAGAAAACATTTGTGTAGTCCCTCCCTGACGTTTTCGGGTCTTGGGCTATAACTCTTTCACCCGCTGAGCCCTTTTCAGCCAGGTAGGCAAGAGATTAGACAGCCCAGAACAGAGTTCTGTTTTGCCTAAGTCATGTGTGCCAGGGATGCAAATTGACCCTGGTACACACCGTTAACTACATCTTTAGATATGCAGTATTGCAAGCTAAAATGCTGCACATCCAGGTTCCTACCACCATAACCATGTCAAAAAGCAGAGAGCTGGCAGCGGGGTTGATACCTCAAGAATCTCTGGTTCCAGGTGCCAAAGGTGAAGGAATAGATGGCAGCTCAGGGCTGGTTTGGTTCCTGAACTAGTCATCAATAATGCCTCTTTCCTGCTACAAAAATTTCTAGGCCTCATACAGTTTGCCAAGATTCTGTAATAATTCCACTTTAAATCAAAGTCTCATTCCATCCCTGGTGTCCTGCTTCTTAAGGGAAATTAAATAATCTGACTGGAAAATGTCCTTCTTCCATAATTCTTTATTTAGCTTTTAAATGCCTGCAATGGTCATGATTGAAGAACCTGATATGAGCTTGCAATTTATTTTAGGCCCATTAAATCCTCAGAGTTAAAGAAATGGAAAAAGCACCACAAGGTTGCAAGTGCACCAGTGCGTTACTGTGGTTTATTGAAAGGCATTTCAAAGAACAAACGTTTGAAATGCCCTTCGATAAAACAAACAGTACCACTTTTGTGCTCTTGCAATCTTGCTGCACCACTTCTTTTGTTTTGTTTTACCTGTTTATACCGCTGATTAAGCAACAGTGGTTAAGGATCTCATAGCTGCACTGAGGTGATTCTTTAACTTTAAGTAATGCAGTTTTGTAAATTTCCCATCTTGCATACTTAAATCCTCAAAGGATTAAATTAGAGACTAAGAACTAAGTGATCTCTAGCCACCCATTGTTGATAATGAAATTATGCAGTTGTATCATATTCCTTGCATCTTGTTTGCTACACCGATTTCCATCAAATTCAAACCAAAATTGAGGAATCTATGCAAAAATTGCTTGTTTGAAAAAATATTAAAAAAAAAAGCAATCTCCAACTTATCTGTACTCAAAGCTTGGCTACCGTTGCCTAAATTTCACATTTTAATTATTTAGATTCTAACTCACTGCAATTAGGCTTATAGTGAATAAAGCCATGTGTTTTTGGAAACTTGCAATACAATTCCCCGACACAAAAAGGGTCCCTTGTAAGTTAAAAGGAAAATCTAGCAAAACACAAGCTAGCTTCTTTTGTCAAAATATTTTTCATCTGTTGGCTCTATAATTTTAAACCAATTGAAAACCATTTCAGTGCCAGGTCTGCATAAATAAAAGCTTCAACGAGTAGTGAACTTTACATTTCAGCATTTATTTAAAGTGCATATGTTGTGACCAACATAGCAATGAAAACTTGATTTGACAGCATCCCATAACTCCTAAAGTGCAAATGCACCCTGGGAATTGTGGGACACTGCTCTCGTCTTTTGCTGGGTGACTGAATGTGCCGCTGCTTCTAGTCCATGAGTCCATGTTTGGTGAGGAGGCAGAGGAAAGTTAGCTAAGTATATATTTTGATCCATATACTTGCGGGTGATTTTTTTGCCAGAACAGTGTATTGGCAGAATCTGTACCTACCCGAATGGGAGCTTGTCATGCCCACAATTTGCAGAATGGTATTCTCGTCCTTGTTCCCTATATTTCAGAAAAATCTTCGGCACTCCATATGTTGTGGACTGCATCTCCCATAATGCTCTTACAGCCATTATGCTGGTAAAGCATCAGGGGAGATGTAGTTTACAATATCTAGGTTGCCTTTCCCTGCCATAGAAGAGCCTTTATATCTTGGGATTGTATGTTAACAGAGAGATTTAGTTACAGTGTTGTGGAGATTTTTGTAAACCGTTGCAAGTATTGGTAACAGAATGTAGAAATATAGCAACAGGGGATCTTCTTGCTCCATAACCTACACAAAGATCATCTGTGTCACTGGTACTTTTAGTGTCACTTTAATATTCATGAACCAAAGGTGATACACTGTTGCACCTTCTAGGTGGATGTTGTCATAGCAACCCATCCATGTAACACCTTTGTACTACCTTGAGCTGTCTGAATGAATGAGAAGCATTTTTTCCACTTTTTACAAGCCACGGTCCTGGCAGCCACAATATAAAATAACATAGGGTTTGAGTTTTCCGGTTTATTGTATCCTGTGTTCAGCAAGTCTTGTCAGCTCACTACAGCTCACAATTCGGTGAATGAAGACTGGCACCAGTGAAGCATCCCTCCCAGCTGTTCTGTATTATTTTGGACCATTGTCTTGATGTGCCGAATATGCATCTCTGGTATCACACTGATAGAGACAAAAGAAAAGTCCTCAATTAGTACAGATTGCTAAATTTGAATGGCTTAGGTTGGCTGTCTGGGATGCAGTCTTCCAACCTCACATCCTTTTTATCCCCAAGGTCAAGATGCACCCTTTCTGTCTGTTCTATTAGTGATATGCTTTGCATTATTAGTACTTCCCACTCCGGCTCTGTGCTTTAACAGCTTGACTCCATACCTACCATTTTTAGATGAAATGAGGAATACGGGGGGAAAAAAATATCTCCCTTCTGATATTATTTCACAAAGATGAGGATACATAGAACGCAAACCCAGATAGATTCTCACATGGTGGTGTGCTGAATTGCCTAAAGAGACACAAACTATAATACCTGCTTCAGCTTAACGTAGTGGACAAGGCGTCCTTGAGTGTAGTCCGTTCAGTTTTTTGTTTATTTTTTACTAATCCTCTCTTCTGGTACTTTTCAAGCCCAACACTACTTCTGCTATGGAGCTAATGATATACTAAATGCTGATCCCTGAGCATTCTGTTTGCCTCAAATACTGATTCTTGCAGTATGTGCAGATAGCTAAGCGAAGGCCATTATTCATATTACAAGTGATGTAATGACAACGTTTGTAGACTTGAACTGTAAGAGAACTCTTGTTTATCTGACTCACTTCATCATTAAGACATGTCTTACAGGGATTGCTAACTTATTTATATATGCCCTGATACCTTTTAGCATGTAGGGTTATGTTTAGTCTTAAAAGAAATATATAATATATATTTTGACGGTTATCTCCTTTTTATAGATAGAGATATATATATAATATATATATATATTATGTGTGTGTGTGTGTGTGTATATGTATGTATATATGTATGTGTGTGTGTGTGTGTATATAGTGAAAAATGTAACTGATAGGACATATATTACACTGATAAAGATATTACAGCATAAGGCACAGCTGCATACTGCACCACAGTTTAACCCCTTAAGGACCAAGGACATATCAGGTATTTCCGACAAAAAACGTTCCCTTAAGGACCGCAGACGTACCTGATACGTCCGCATGGAATTAGTACACTGCAATAACCCTCTCACTGCCGGTGGCCCTGAAGAACACCAGGTGATCGTTTCACGCCCCCCAGGAGCGATCACGTCCGGGTTGCTCCACGTGAAGCCCTGCAGTATAGCAGAGCATCAGAGATGCTCTCGAGGGGTCGAGGCACTTAGTGAATGTAAAAAATGTTTAAAAATAAGTAATAAATAAAAAATTAACCCCTTCCCTCCCACTCCCTCCCCATGTACTTACCGATCACCGCCGTTCCCCCACTGGCGGTCGGTCTTCTTCTTAAGGGGGGACTGTCTGGGCTGACCATTTAAAAAAAGAAATAAAATGCTAACTTTGGCCAGCGTTTGTGACTAAGTGACTACTACAAAAGACTGGAAATACCCCATTTGGAATACCCTGGGTTATCTACATTTGAAAATGGTATGCCATGATGGGGTTATTTCACATTCCTGGGCTACCATATGGTCTCAAAAGGCAACACAGACACAGCAAACTAATCTGGCAAACTGAATTGGGCAAGCTCTATATTGACCCTGTAACTTTCCAAAACACCATAAAACCTGTACATGGGGGTATTGTTATACTCTGGAGACTTCGCTGAACACAAATATGAGTGTTTACAACAGTAAAACTTATCACGTCGATGAAATCACCAGTAAAAGTGCATTTTTTTTTGTGTTAAAAAAAATGCAAAAAACAAATATGAACGCTAACTTTGGAAAGCGTTTGTGGCGAAGTGGCTACTTCAAAAGACTGGACATACCCCATTTTGAATACCGTGGGTTGTCTACTTTTACAAATGGTATGCCGTGATGGGGCTAATTTTTCATTCCTGGGCTACTATACGGTCTCAAAGACAACATAGGCCCAGCAAACCAATCTAGCAAATTTCAATGTGCAAACATGGAAAAGGGGAAAGCCCTACATTTTGCCCCTGTAAGTTTGCAGAAACCCATAAAACCTGAACATTGGGGGCACTGTTGTACTCGGTATATGTTGCAGAACACCTATCGAGGTGTTCTTTGTCAGTAACACATAACAGGAACTGAGAATCCATACCTGAAGTTGGAAAACTGGAATGCGCACGTTCCAAATAAGGCATTTTAGCCGCCATAGAACCTGACACACCTGTACATGGGTGGTGTCACTGTACTCAGATGTTGCTGAACACATATTTGGGTGTTCTTCGGCAGTAATACATAACAGGAGCTGAGAATCCATGCCTAAAGTACAATGTGCGTGAAAAATAACACAAACAAATGACTACCCTAAAGGTTGACAAAGACTGGTGGTAGAACACAATTATTGGGGTGTTCTTTGGCAGTAACCCTTAAAGTTCTCCGTACATGTATTCTTAAATTGCTATAAGTGTCAAAAAAAATCACCAATTGTGTTTTTTTAATTTTTTTTTTATTTTTTTATTTGGCATAGATTGGTGGTAAAATGGTTGCATGAAAAGAGTCAAAATACCCCAAGTTTATCACATTAGGTTGTCTTCTAAAAATATAATATGTGAAGGGTTATTCAGGGATTCCTGATAGATATCAGTGTTACAATGCGTTAAGTTTGGGAACTATTTAGCACGGGTGTTTTTTGGCGGTTGTAGATTCGTAACAGATTTTGGGGGTCAACATTCGAAAAAGTTAGTTGTTTTTTTTTGTTTTTGTTTTTTACATTATATATATATTTTTGTTTTATTGCTACATTTTTTATCATAAATCAAGTCATGTTTTAGTTTTTCTCTCGACTAATAAATCCATTGAAGCATTTTCTAGGTTGATGTGTGCAGTAGAGACGTCATTTTTTGATCACTGGTGTCGCCATCTTCCTAGGATTCTATAGGTTTATGGGTCTCATGGAACATTTTGAAATTTGCATTGAATACTAGTTATGTCTTAACAGCCTTGCATTTAATGTAAATACAAAACAAAATCAGCTTTTTTGTTTGCAGTTAGGATTTGTCATTCCTTCTAAAGTGACGGTTCTTTCATTCAGCATGTGGCGTCAGCTGTGGTACTCTCAGCTAATCGCCAAGGGTGCAGCTTGCGTGCGGCATTGAGCTACCTCTGTTCAGGCAGGTCCTAACGTGCACTACAGATAATTTTACAGCATCACAGGAGCTGGCTGTACAACTTTTCTGCAGAAATCTTCCTGAACTTCACTCTGCTCACTTTATCTTTATTTCCCCTGCAGGCAGTGGGTGGGGAGAGCAAGAAAGATTATTAATTATTATAATAAACCAATACCTTATTCTTATAAATAATATTTATGCCTAGCCGAGTATACAACATTAACCCAATCTGCCACATTATCAACAGTGATGCAAGTACCTTGACGATTGACCATGTACTCTTCAGATACAGATATCGCCCACAATGCATTGTGGGAGGTGATAATGTATTTGCACTTGTTTTGGTGGTGTCCATTTGTACACAGGCTTTGCATTCAACCCCGGAAATGGAACTTGATGACCCAATGTCTGGGAAGCCCCCCACAGATTTACATTTTGTTTTCCTTTTATTCCCTATATTTTTCTCCAACTAATAGTGACTTTATTGCACCCCCCCATTTATCCCTGATCAATTGTGGAAATATGTGAGTGGGCAGATGTATTATGTTTTAAGTCTGTGTAAAAGAACTAATACATGTAATTTTAGCTGGTAGAGTGCTATTCTAAATTGTATACTGCACTGTGCCATATTTTCATTTTATTCAATAATCCAGGAACTCTGAGGGAAGTACCTTCTAAAATACCTCTCTCTCTCTCTCTCTAATACTCATACATTTGAGGAACACTCCAATGTTAAAAGTCAATATTTGGTTTTAACGTTTGGAGTATTCATTAACCCCAGTAGATGCCAGACGCCTCCCAAAAAATAAGATTTACTTACTTTTTTCTCTAACAGTGAGTCTTCTTTTAAATGACCATTATAGCCACCCAGACCACTTCAGCTCAATGAAGTGGTCTGGGTGCCAGATCCATCTAGGATTAACCCTGCCTGCTGTAAACATAGCAGTTTCACAGAAACTGCTATGTTTACTTTAGGGTTAATCCAGCCTCTAGTGGCTGTCTCATTGACAGCCGCTAGAGGCACTTCTCACTGTGATTAGAAGAGGGAGGAGAGTCCCCAGCGCCGAGGGATCCCGGCGCTGGAGAAAGGGGAGTGTTTAACCCCTTAAGGAAACATGACGTGTGACATGTCATGACTCCTTTTTATTCCAGAAGTTTGGTCCTTAAGGGGTTAACCCCCTTCCTCCCCCTTCAGCCCGGCGGGAGTGGGTCAGGGCACTATAGTTCCAGGAAAACGAGTTTGTTTTCCTGGCACTATAGTGGTCCTTTAACCCCTTAAGGACACATGACGTGTGACATGTCATGATTCCATTTTATTCCAGAAGTTTGGTCCTTAACGGGGTAATGCTACTCTGCTCAAACCCTGGGAGACTCTGTTACAACAGTATCCCTTCCTATCTATCGTAAAATTGGCTCACATTCGGCGATTACTACAAATGCACCAATGTGAGGGGTGGGGGGAGGGGGGGTGAAGAGGCACACAAGCAAAGACACCTTTTTGAGAGAGCGACAAAATGCATTTTCGCCTGTGTAGCCATAAATCCTTGCACCGGCCTGGCCATAAGCACTATGAGAGCCTTTTTTTGTGAGACCGCTGAAGTGATTTGATATGAACTAGGCGCCTGGTACCTTAAGACTCTTTTAATTACCGGTACAGAAATTCTGTGCTTAGTACCAATATGGTTGATTCTCAAATTGTTACACATGGTGAATTATAAATTATAGATGATTGTTGTCAATACCACCATTGATATAGTTGGTTAGATATTGCATGATTAGAGCAATAGTAATATCGAATCCTGGTCAGACCACCTCACCTTTTGGCAAAACGCCCAACAATATATAAGCCTACCACAAATCCTCATAGATTGTAAGTTTGTTTAAACAGGGCCTTCTACACATCTAGAATAGTAAAGCGCTGCACAATATGGTGATATATGAATAATATTAATTTACAGCTCAATCCTGTGTGTGATGCACCTTACTTGGCTATATAGAGCCCTTCAGATCCAACTGTTTTCCATTACGGAGGGCGATGTGGATTGAAGTTGAACTGTTGAAGAAATAAGACTGCCTCTGTTCTGTGGAATTTCTCTTAGCTTGAAGCACTTCTGACTTTATCCCATGCATTCATAATGCTAAAAATCTTTCTGATGAGTTAATGTGTAACCTCAAGATTATGGATTATAGGACACTGAGTAGGCACAGGGATATGAGCATGTAAGTAAAAACCAGAGAGAGAGAGAGGTTTTTTTGGTTTTTGTTTTTTTTCTAGGTGGATACTGTGATATTTTTGTTTGTGTGAATAATCTGTCACATCGCATTTAACGCTGTTTTTTATTTTTTTATTATTGATTGCTTTAAAGATACAGACATCACCTATTCTCCTCCACTAAAGCAGAGATGTAAATTGTAATGTATCTGTCAGCATTCTAAAATGTATACCTTCTGGGACAGCCATATCTGTTTGTTTTGATTGATTAGACCTCATTGTTAATTCCCCCCACGATTTAGAAAAGTTAATATGGCCCGTCAGCTTCGGACGAAAAGGTTGGCAAACACAAGGGAGATTAATGCAGGGCTAGTCCAGTGACCAGTGGTTAATGTAGTTTATTAATCAAACTAAGCTCTTACATGAATGATTTGTGACACCTGCTCTTTAAATATACTGCATTGGATGAGAATACTTTGTAATTTGCTAGATTAATGTTATGTTTACCAAACCTCATGTTCTTTCTCTGCAGTCACAACCAATACAGATGAACCAAAACTGTCGGTAAGTAACATGGGGCAAACATTCCATGTTTTTGTTAAATGTTCTGATTTAATACTCATTCCCCATGTCCATGTCACTTTCTTCATTCATGTCACCATCTCCCTGTCGTCATCTTCACTGAAACCCTAGTCTCACTGTCTCCTCTAATAACCATTTTACCTCATCTAGTAATATTATCCGTGTTAGGCAGAGTGTCCTTGTGGTGATGATATTCCTCCGAGAATCCATAGCGGTATCATTTGCCCTCTGTTGTCTTTCGAAGGTTTGTGAGATAGACACCCATGATTCTCTCTTTGTGAGTCTCTGATAGTGAAGTTCTGCCACAAAGTGAACTTCCGTTTTATAATTCAGTGATACTCCACTTTGACAGTCGTCACAGCCGTCTGAAGTACAGGTATCTAGCTCACAGTCCTTGGCAGACATTGGTAAGCACTATCACAATGGATATAAAGAGGCAATGCACAGATATGCCTCTAGAGGCATTTATAAATAAATAGAGAGCTTGCTATTAATACTTATGCTTGTGCTTGATACTGTATCTGATCTTTCACATCTATAGCAATCTGCACTCCTAGCAGCCATCATCGTCCCGTCTGTGGTGGGAGGATTAATTATCATTGGAATACTGATCTTCTTTTTCATCAAAGTGCGTGAGTTACGTCGAACAGAGGGAACCTACAGACCTAGCCAAGAGGAACAAGTAGGATCGCGGGTGGAGCCCAACAGTACTCTAAAATTACCCCCCGAGGAAAGGCTCATCTAAAGTGGTCAAATCCATACACTACTCTGCTGAAAAGAGACTTCTAAAAAGTGTGTAGTCCCTCTCCTCTACCACAAAGAGACTTGTATAGTTAGGAGAGAGTGTTACAATTACACCACTTTCAGTAGTGTTGATTTGAACTGAAGTGGTGCAAGTGAGGTTGAACTGTAACATTTAAAGAAGCATACTACTGATCAGGAAAAAAATGATCTTCCACCTCAAGAGAGGTCCAAGAATTTCTGCTATGGCCACTTGTGTGTCCACATAGTGACTGCCCGACACTTAGTATTACTTCCGAGACATTATGCCCTTTCTGTAAGGAATGGGAACTTAAAAACAAATCTTTATTATTTCATAATATCACCTCCCCCTGCTTCACACATCCCATAACCAAATCCATCCTTACATCCTCCTATCATCTTACTCTTATCTGGGTGTTTCATATAGTTTGAGTGGGACCAATTACCAGTATTAGATAGGAAGAGGTCAGAGGTGATTACACCAGTTGGAGATCAAACTGTTTTATCATGAAGAGGGTGACTTTCAGCTCGTGCCAGACCTTGCATTATCTTTTTTTTTTTTTTATAATGTAATAACTGTAGATAGAAATTTATAAAATGTATTTACCACAGTGGAAATGAAAATATGTATATAAAGATATTTTATAAATATGTGTAGACCTATATACACCCATGTGTAGAAACCACTCTTAAAGGAAACTGATCACCTTAAATTTAAGATTTGTGAATGTTTGTATGTTTTGGTCAGAAGAAATGTAAGAAGTAGGATTGGGCCTGTAAATAGCAATGTAAGGGACATCTGCAAAAATCGCACACTTTGAGCATGAATGGAGCAGATGTGGCTTTTGATGTTCTGGCCCTCATAATGAATGTTTGGACGGTGTCAGGTATGTTTGATTAACACACCCAAAGTGAGTGATGGCTCACTCTGGTAGTTAATGTGTTGTGTAAACTACATTTGCCATGTAGTTTAGACAGTCGAAGGGGAGGCATATCTTAATGGGAAGTGTAGGTCAAAAGGCTATTAGTCCTCATCACTCCCTTAAACTCTATGAGAAGAGCATTTGGGGTGCTACGGTATATAATCTGAGAAATAGAGGCGGTCCATCACTCCCCTAAATCCTATCCAGTGAATATAATGGGAAGTGTAGGTCACAGGCCATTTTAAATAGGTTTTACCATCACTGGTCTTTCCAAAGAATGGCTCAACAAAATGTACCCATGAAGCAGATTTTTACATCAATAGCTACAGAACTGCTTCCATTTAAACCAATCAGTGCTTGCTCAGTTGAGAAATTGAGATGGACAGGTATGCAAAACTTAAATTTTTTATTGTAATTGTTCATAATTGATATCATGTATTTTTTGTATAGTACATTCTGTCTTAATCCTGCTAATCCCCTGAGTCTCAGAGTGGGCAACTCTAACATGCTGGGCGAACGCTTTCAAAATGTCAGTACTCTGTACCCAGGGCCCTATCCAGATGAAGTTTCAATGCATGTCCAGTGCCTGACCGTGTGTGTACATTTATGCCACACCAAAAGTGCCTTATTGCTTTGTGCTGGGTATTTTCTGGATAAGAAGTTCACCGTGGAACTGAAGAGTGTTTCTGCCAAATAAGACCATCTATGTTTCACTCTGTGTGGGGCGAGTTGTAAAAAAAAATAAAAATGTTTTGTACTAATCACAGGTTTTAAATATTATACTTGTAAAAACAATAAAATTATTTTTTATCATAAACCTAAGGTTTTGTGTTTCTTTTTTCTTTTTTTTATGTTTTAATGTGGTGTCATGCAGTACACATGTTTCTCTCAGAATTTCACAACTCTGGATAATGTAACAGAATGGAGCTGTATAAATACAGATGTTACTAGGATCCCACCCCAGAGGGGGCAGCGCTGTGTATAATGTAATAGAAAGGAGCTGTATAAATACAGATATTACTAGGATCCCACCCCAGAGGGGGCCGCGCTGTGTATTATGTAATAGAAAGGAGCTGTATAAATACAGATGTTACTAGGATCCCACCCCTGAGGGGGCTGCGCTGTGTATAATGCAATAGAAAGGAGCTGTATTAATACAGATATTACTAGGATCCCACCCAGAGGGGGCTGTGCTGTGTATAATGTAATAGGAGCTGTATAAATACAGATATTACTAGAATCCCACCCCAGAGGGGGCTGCGCTGTGTATAATGTAATAGAAAGGAGCTGTATAAATACAGATATTACTAGGATCCCACCCCAGAGGGGGCTGCACTGTGTATAATGTAATAGAAAGGAGCTGTATAAATACAGATATTACTAGGATCCCACCCCAGAGGGGGCTGCGCTGTGTATAATGTAATAGAAAGGAGCTGTATAAATACAGATATTACTAGGATCCCACCCCAGAGGGGGCTGCACTGTGTACAATGTAATAGAAAGGAGCTGTATGAATACAGATATTACTAGGATCCCACCCCAGAGGGGGCTGCGCTGTGTATAATGTAATAGAAAGGAGCTGTATAAATACAGATATTACTAGGATCCCACCCCAGAGGGGGCTGCGCTGTGTATAATGTAATAGAAAGGAGCTGTATAAATACAGATATTACTAGGATCCCACCCTAGAGGGGGCTGCACAGTGTATAATGTAATAGAAAGGCGCTGTATAGATACAGATATTACTAGGATCCCACCCCAGAGGGGGCTGCGCTGTGTATAATGTAATAGAAAGGAGCTGTATAAATACAGATATTACTAGGATCCCACCCCAGAGGGGGCTGCGCTGTGTATAATGTAATAGATAGGAGCTGTATAAATACAGATATTACTAGGATCCCACCCCAGAGGGGGCTGCGCTGTGTATAATGTAATAGAAAGGAGCTGTATAAATACAGATATTACTAGAATCCCACCCCAGAGGGGGCTGCACTGTGCATAATGTAATAGAAAGGAGCTGTATAAATACAGATATTACTAGGATCCCACCCCAGAGGGGGCTGCACTGTGCATAATGTAATAGAAAGGAGCTGTATAAATACAGATATTACTAGGAACCCATTGCAGAAGGGGCTGCGCTGTGTATAATGTAATAGAAAAGGGAATGTATAAATACCATTATTCCTAGGGTTCCACCCCAGAGCAGCCTGTACAGTACAGTGCAATATAGAAACCAATTTATAAATACATATATTACTAGGAGCCCACCTTAGAGGGGGAGGCACTGTATATAATGTTAAAAAAAAAGCTGTATAAATACAGATATTACTAGGATCCCACCCTAGAAGGGGCTACATCCTGGTGTTATTCTTGGTGTGACAGATTTTCAGTGATCGTGTCCTTTAGTTATATAAACCTAGATGGTCATTAATTTGTTAAACTTCAAATCTTTTCTTCAGCTCAGAAACTTTAGGGAGAGACGGGAGGCTCAAGTCTGCTGATTCTGGGGAAACTTCTTGATCTACACGTTCTCTTTTTGGAATTGATATTGAAGCATTAGCATTGAGTGCTTGGATGGATTTTGGGTTGTTGCTTGTCGGACTTAAATCTGATTGCACTTTGAGTTTGGAATTGCTGGTGTTTCTGGGGATCATGTTAAGAGTGCAGGGAGTTTGAGGGGTGTTTTTCTGTTGCTGATTAATGAAATTAATTACTTTTTGTGCTGCATCCTTTTTTGTTCCAGGCCACATAAGTCGAGGGTCCAAAGGACCACTCTGGAATCGAGAGATAGTTGTTCGTACACTAGGACCTGACACTCTGTATGAGGCACCTTGGTTTGTACACTCCCTATCCTTCTCAGTTGTTTTATAATGATTAGGAGTTGGACCTTCTGTGGTTGCACCTTTTTGTGTAATAGTGGCTGGAACTACAGACTCTGGTGTTGAAGAGATAACCGTAACTGGAACAATGTTCTCTGGGGTTTTTGTAGAGCTACCTGTGGATGAAACTGCAGACTCTGGTGTTGCTGAGTTGTCTTTGATTTGTGATGTGACTACATTGGCTTGTGAGTTTACCTCTGCTTTTGGTGTAGGGATGTCTGTAGTTATGGGGATGGCCATGTTGACTTGTGCTTTGATGTCCTCTGTTGGCAGAGTATCCGCTTTAGATAGTAATGCAACCTCCTTGGTTAATAACTTGACCTCATTTTCTAGAGATGTTCTTGCTTCGGCTAAGGTTGTGACCTCCTGTATTTCTGAAGTGTCGTTTAGGGCTAATGGGAAGGTGAACTTTGTGGTTGGCAAGATGATCTCTGATATTGGTGAAGCGACTAAGACAGATGGTGGAATGTCTTTTGTGGTCTGTGAAATATCTTCTAGGTTCATTGACGTGCTGTCTGATGTTAGTGACGTAGGTTCTGGAGATGTATTGGTTTCGTCCAAGGACCCTTCATCCTCCTCTTGCAGGTACCAGAGACAAGAATCTCTAGGTTGACTTATACTGAGATCTTCCTCGCTTGTGGGGCTTATAGACTGAAACTAAAGCAGAGAGAGGTTTCACTTAGACATGCATATGTAGATACTGTTCCTTGCACAAACATGTTAAACAAACACAGCTCTTCCACAGAGAGCGCCTAATTTCCTTCTATACTATATATATTTGTTGTGTAAGCATAATGACTTCCTGTTTGTTTAGATGGCATAATATCTAGGCAGTGGAATTCTGTGATACATGTAACATTGATCTCATCTATATTACAAGGCATATCTCGATATGTGTAACATATGCGCATTTGAACTTAAAATTGGCACACATATAGTACAGAAATTTAACTTTGAGTTATTTCAACCAAAAAAAGTGTTTTAGTAAAACACTAACAGTGTTCTTGGTTAAAGCAGCACTTGATGTGCTGGTCTGACCCCTTCACTCCCCCTCACAATTTAAACAAATCTAAAACTTAGCTTTATTCCAGTGCTGAGGCCAAGTTCCCCCTCAGATTGTTTCTCCACAAATGATGTTACTCTTCCTTGCTGGATGAGTAACAATGTCATAGGGGGCAGGT